GGTGTTTTGGTGTTTTTGTTTGTTTTTTTTTTAACCTTCTGTTTCAAGCTCTGCTGGAATGGCGCTGGCTTTAACCCCCCCCCAGGGAAAACTGTTGGCTGCTTCTCCGGGGGAAATCAAATCAAGGTGAACGTGGGGGGATTGATCTCCCTGAAGGAGAGGCTGAGGTGGTGGGTTTGGGAGTCTTTCCTTCCTGGATTGTAATCTTCCTTTCCCTGGGTTGGAGAATCACTTTCAATCCCCTTCTCCTGGTGCCACCATCTCACGTATTCACCATAGGAAGGTGAGGAAGGTGAGGAAGGGCAGGAGGATTTCACATCGCCGGGAAAGTCTCCGCCGCGCCGCACGAACCGCACCTGAGAAGGGAAAAGAAACAAAACAAACAACAAACCAAGCCTCCAGGAAGTGTCTGTGTTATTTAAAACTGAGCAAAACTTCACTCACTAAGTGCTACTTCGGGATGAACACACGCTGCCGATTCACTTTAGTCAGAGGCACTGCCGATGCCACCACCCCTGTCCCCACCACCGTGTCACGGGCGATGCCGGCACACGTGGCCGCGGCTCTGCCACGTCTCTGCTCGCACCCACCCCAGGCTCAGCGAGTCCCAATCCACATGGCCAAGGCTGGATCGTTGCTTTTCCCCCAGCTCTGGACACCCCAGCACAAGTTAACTTGGCATTTCCTTCCCACCCAGCCTCACCTCCAGCGCTCCATCGTTACAACCTCCCGGCTGTGCCTGAAGGGAAGAAGAAAACCAGTGACGCCGATTTGCCCCGCAGCCACTCCGGTGCTGGTATTTAGGGGACAAAACCAAGGGGATCAGCACCCCATCCTCCCACAAACCACAGGGGTTTGCCATTTTCTGGGGGTGCTCACCCCAAACTGACCTGCATGGGCAGCACTGCCCATGGGGACGTCTAAGCATCTACTGGGGGCTTGGGCTGCAGCAGGGAACCCCAGAACCCCCCCTGCAAGGGGACTGGGTTTCCTCACTCCAATATGATTTTCTCACATGCCACCACCATGTTTTCAAAGCCTTTTTACTGCTGTGAGGCAGCTCTTGGCTTTTGTTTTCCCCTCTGGAAAAGCAGAAAGCCGACGGGTGAGGCAGCCGGTTTGGGGGGCA